CCACAGTCACTAATGAAAACAAAAGAAAACAATATTATATACATGTAAAATTAAGTGCTACTTAGTCTTTTGTTAAATAATACATGTAATAAGAGTGGGTAATAAGATTATTTCTTTTTGTCAGTTAATTTTTTTACTGTAAAATACTTTATTTTCACTTGGAATTAATTTTCGATATTTTCGCTGAAGGAACGCTTCAGTGAAAATAAAATCCAGCGAATATACCTTTTTTCCTATATTTTACATTCATCTTTTCAAAAATTAGTGAAAATAAATTCCATACAAAACATCCAAAAAGTCTTTTCAGTGAAAATTAATTCCAGCTATAATAAAGTATTTTACAGTAGGTTAATATTAAGTCGGTTCTATTTTCTGGACGAGGTTGCTGTAAAAATGTTTTAATAGATTTTCTCTATCAAATATAAATATGTATAAAAATTATTTATTTTCATAAATATAGTTTTCTTACATGTGGGATTTTAATATAAATTCTGTGTGTGCTGATCCCCACCCCACCTGCAAGTACAAGGTTCAAGACCCATTGAAGTAATTCAACAGATCTTGAACTTCAGAGGCATTGAAGGAAATTACCTTGGTTCCCTTCCATATTGACTATATTAATTCTATATTTGTCCATGCATTTTTATCAATTTGAGCCAATTATCAATTTGTAAATGTGCGCCCTCTCAAGTTCAACTCTGAAGTCTAAGCCCGGTTTCAATGTAAACAACAGGGGTTGCGTTTTAGCATTTTTGTGTAGAGAGACAAGATAAGAAAATAAACAGGAGCTGACAATACATGTATATCTGTGTACAAATGGGACCCATTTTTGTACTGAAGTGTGGGTCCCTCTCAAATACTGAGGGTTCAGAAAAGCAGGATATGAGGCTAACGCAATCCCTCATACATACTTTATATTTCTTTGAATTACCCATGGTGCCCTCAATTCAAAAAACAACAGAACATTAGATCTGTGGCTAGAAATATTGCCAGAAATACTTGTACAATATTCCCCGAGACATTAGTTACTTTATGACTCCTTGTCAAAGCCCAGTGGAATTAATAATTTCATGATTTGGGTTGTTTCATGAAATTCACAAAATTTGTCTTGTGCGACAGCAAAAAAAAGTTACAATATTTTTATTTATTTATTTTTTTGCCAGGCGACAGTTCCGGACATTGAGTGTCACTGTTGTCTCTCCTGACTTTTTTATGTGCAAATTGCAAGTGCTAGTGATGACACATAGTGCATTTTGCCACAGAAGCCATATTCATGTTTGGGACTACATGACAAGACAAGGTTCCCCCAAAGTCGCATTCGTTAGTCGTTAGTAAATGAATCTCGACCAGTGGAATTGGCCTTCCCATTGAGTCTGTGGCACACTCACCCAGCCCAGATGTTCAGCCTAAGGTAGGATTTGAACTTGGGTCTACCGATCATGAGTCTGATGTGACAACCACTATGCTACCAGTGACTGGTGAGTTACAATATATTAAAATTAACAAATGTGAATAAACCATACAAAATTTTTTGTATTGGAAGAGCATTCATGAAAGCAACAGGAGAGCAAGCAACGGTGTTGGAACACTATTTGAAGGACACTAACTCACAGCATTCATTTGCTTGTAAAGACTATTAGCAGTGACAGAAAGAAGACGCATGTTCTAGAGAATAGAGAATTGGAGCATATATCAAAATCACTGAGGTGATTATTAAAGGGACTATGGATAAATAATAGGTCATTTCTTTCGTCAAACTAAATTTGATGTAACTTACTCAAAAACATATATTTTTTTAAATGTTTTTGTGCCTAGCTACAGCTCTGGACATTGAATGTCACTGTTGTCTCTCCTGACTTTTTTTAGTATGTGCAAGTTGCAAGCGCTACCGGTAGTGCTTGACACATAGTGCATTTTTTCCACAGAAGCCAATTTCATGTTTGGAACTACATGACAAGGCTGTGTGGTCGTCTCTCTATCAAATGGCAATTTAATGCGCTATTCTGGTACCAAGCAGGCTCAGTCGAACACAAGCACCTGCGGACCTTAACCAAGGTTCCCCCAAGGTTGCATACATTAGTGAATGAATCTCGGCCAGTGGAATTGGCCTTCCCATTGAGTCTGTGGCACACTCACCCAGGGTAGGGGGTTGACCCTTTTTGGTGTTCAGCTCGAGGTAGGATTTGAACTTGGGTCTACTGATCCAGACTCCACCACCAACCACTATGCTACCAGTGACTTGAAAACATATTTATTATATTGAAACACTCACCATTATTAGAATTGGCGACGGAAAAAACTACAAAAACAGTTGCTATGGTAATCCACCATTTGGACATCTTGCTTTAAATTACATCAGTACCTGAAAGATAGATCAGAATATAATGAATAAAATATATCATATAATATAATTGAGTATAATGGATTAGAATCGTAATAAATAGATTAGAATATAATGAAAATGGATTAGAATAGTAATAAATAGATTAGAATCATAATTAATAGATTAGAATATAATGAAAATAGATTAGAATAGTAATAATAAAAGATTTACTATTACTATCATTATATAATATTCAAATCTATTTATTACTATTCTAATCTATTATGATTCTAATCTATTACTATTTTAATCCATTTTCAATATATTCTAATCTATTTATCATGATTCTAATCTATTATTATGATTCTAATCTATTTATTACTATTCTAATCGATTATTATGATTCTAATCTATTACTATTTTAATCCATTTTCAATATATTCTAATCTATTTATTACTATTCTAATCGATTATTATGATTCTAATCTATTTATTACTATTCTAATCGATTATTATGATTCTAATCTATTACTATTTTAATCTATTTTCAATATATTCTAATCTATTTATTACTATTCTAATCGATTTTTATGATTCTAATCTATTTATTACTATGATTCTAATCTATTTATTACTATTCTAATCGATTATTATGATTCTAATCTATTTATACTATTCTAATCGATTATTATGATTCTAATCTATGTATTACTATTCTAATCGATTATTATGATTTTAATCTATACTATTCTAATCGATTATTATGATTCTACTATTTATTACTATTCTAATCGATTATTATGATTCTAGTCTATTTATTACTATTCTAATCGATTATTATGATTCTAGTCTCGTTATTACTATTCTAATAGATTATTATGATTCTAATCTATTTAATACTATTCTAATAGATTATTATGATTCTAATCTATTTATTACTATTCTAATCGATTATTATGATTCTAATCTATTTATTACTATTTTAATCTATTATTATGATTCTTATCTATTTATTACTATTCTAATCAATTATTATGATTCTAATCTATTTATTACTATTCTAATCGATTATTATGATTCCAATCTATTTATTACTATTCTAATCAATTATTATGATTCTAATCTATTTATTGCTATTCTAATCGATTATTATGATTCTAATCTATTTATTACTATTCTAATCGATTATAAATAGAATACAATTATTCATATTAAGCGTCCTGATACAAACATGTAAAATACATTTTCTGTATACACAAACTTTGCGTTGGGTTGTGTGACAACTGTATTGCTTCAGCTATAATACTGCTGCATTCTAGGTCACAGAAACTATAAACATACATGTACTAATGTAATTTCCCCTTAGACATATCAAAACTACACCCAACAAGCTTGTAAAAATTTACTAATATAAATGATAGCCATTCAGTCAATACACTGGAATATAAACACTTTTAAAGTCCATGGTAATAAACAAACTGAAAAAAGTATTATTACAAACAAAATACTAAAACGTACAGCCATCTACCCCTTTTATACAAACTACCAACCTCAAACAATTGAAACATGGCAAAACTTTCATTAGCCATGAGATTATTATGAAACAGGAATAATGTCCACTGAGGAGTTCATTTAGTGATCAGGGTACACACTACATGTATAGTGGGTCAGAAAATAAATAATTCAAGTACCAAGAAGAAAGGAAGTCAGCTCTTTTGACATTTTAATCATCAAACATGATCATGGACTTTTTTTTGTTTTTTTATTTTTATTTTTTTTTTTTTAAATTTTTTTTTAATGCGCTATCCTGGCCTCAACCAGGCTCGGTCGAACACAAGCACCTGCGGACCTTAACCAAGGTTCCCCAAAGTCGCATTCATTAGTGAATGAATCTCGGCCAGGGGAATTGGCCTTCCCATTGTGTCTGTGGCACACTCATCCAGGGTAGGGGTCGACCCCATTGATGTTCAGCCTAAGGTAGGATTTGAACTTGGGTCTACTGTTCATGGGTCTGATGCGACAACCACTAGGCTACCAGTGACCGGGTAAACTTTTGTGCTTAAGATATACTAGTATATGTATTCTACATACTGGTACACCAATGCAGGAAATCTTGACATGATTGAATCTGACTTATTTTGATCATACACGTAGATGCACCACTGTTAGATATTTCAGCACGTATGGCAATAGTGATTTAAAGTATTGTGGTTGTCGCATCATACCTGTATTTGTGTTACATGATTTTTATTTATTTAATAATAAATATTCACTTGGAAGATAATGGGTACAGTGCATAAAAAAAAGTAAAGAAAAAGTCATTGCAATGATCATCAGTTCACATCAATGCCAAGGAGATGTTGTTGTCTAGATTCACAACAGATTTTCAAATATTGGCTTTAATATAGACTGGGAAAGTTGGGACTTTTTTTTTGTCTTACGAAAAAATAAATTAATTGTCAATTTAGAATTTTTAGTGTGATAGCGAAAGAAATCTCGGTTGAATTTTATATGCCAAAAGAATTCTTGCACTCATGCTTTAACATATATATACAAGATGATTAGCACAGCTTGAGTTACCAGGGGTTCAGTTGTCTCAAATTTAGCTTAGGACATTTCGTCAAAAACAGCAAGTAGTGTCATGAAAGTTCCTAATTATTTGCAATATTTTGGGTGTAAAACAGTAAATTCAATTATTAGAAAACACTCAGGCTGATTGTCTGAAATGATTGAACAAAATTAAGACATTTGAAAAAATATTGTTGTCCGATGACCATCTGAATCACTTACATGTAGCTATAACATCAAGTGCTAAGTAATATAGCATCAATGTGAAATGCTATTACACCAGAACTAAACAGGAAAAAGAGAGAACCAGCTGAAAACTTACAGTTGTTTTACACTATGATATGATATGAATTTTATTCAGTACAATGGCCTCAGGTCTATGGTACAATAAATCAAAAAATAGAAAAATACATACAGAGGGATTCCTTTAAATAATTGTTGAATCAACTAGTCACAACTGGTTAAGTAGATTAACCAGAAGCGTAGAATACAAATTTTGAAATTCGAAGTACAGATAAGATGTCAAACTGCATTAAACGAAGAAATTTTTCGTAAGTCTGATTTGACAGATAAAATATAGGTAAATATTTTTTTCGAGGATTTACATTAACGTGGACATACAAGGCAAAAATGGTATTCATCCTCAACCAACCCTAAATTACATAATTTACAGATTCTCATATTCCTCGGTATGTTTTACACAATTAAAAACAAGCAATGCGAACAATACATGACATAGTTGATTGGTTGTTTACTGATCTTAGTCATGGCAGGGTGCCAGTCCATTCAGACTATAACAGTATTGAGTTACCAGAAATCTATTTTATTTATTAAATCATTTTTATTTTTGCCTTTTTTGCTGACAGCACAGGACAGCTGGGTAATGTGATGGCCAGGAAATTATACTCTGGTGCTACCACCACATAATTGTATGACAAGTCATATTATCAGGATCCTAGGATGCAGGAGAATATGACTACGGTATACCTTTTGTGCCTTTGCTGTAGGTTTTAAGTTGTGGAAAAGAATTTATTAAACAGATGG